CGGATCTTCGGAAAGCTCGCACTCAATATTACCAAGATGTGTTTGCGTCGATATCAGGTGACCCCAAAAAAATATGGGCTACAATTCGTAAACTCAAAGGCAGCTCAAATATTATGATCCCTAGCACACTTATGTTTGATGATGTGGAATATACCAGTACTCCACTGGTGAACAAATTTAATGATCACTTTTTGCATGCTGGTATTGCAAATAATCCTGGTACTAACAATCTTACAAATGATCTATGTGGATATATATCATCTCACAGTACCAACTCCATATTTCTGTCTCCGTGCACTGCAGATGAAATTTGTAAATTAATCAAATCTTTGAAAACAGATAGCGCAGCCGGATATGATGAAATCAAAGCGAGACCAATTATTCATGTTGCTGATATACTATGTGCCCCGCTTTGTCATATATGTAATAGCGCGCTATCTACCGGGATCTTTCCTGCTAGTTAAAAATAGCCAAAGTTGTAGTCTTGCATAAAGGTGGATCCTTGAATGATCTGAATAACTACAGGCCCATATCTGTGCTACCTCTTTTTTCTAAAGTATTAGAATTAGTTGTAAAGTTTAGGTTAACCCAATTCTTGGATGAAAAGCGGGCACTTGTTGACAATCAATTCGGCTTTCGCAAGAATAAATCAACCGAGGAGGCACTGCTGAGTGTTAAAGAAGAAATAATTGAAAATTTTGAAAACAGGTTATTTACTGTTGGAGTTTTTCTTGACTTCAGGAAAGCTTTCGACTCTATAAAGCATCACATTTTGTTTCAAAAACTTCCCGAATATGGAATTAGAGGCGTTACCTTAGAACTGATAAAGAGTTATTTTTCAGATAGATTTCAATTTGTAAGTCTTAATAACATAAGCTCAGAGATGAAGCAAATAATGTGCGGCGTACCTCAGGGGTCCATCTTGGGTCCTCTATTTTTTATAATTTATATCAACGACATTGTGAATATACCACTTACGCCTAAAATGGTTCTCTACGCCGATGATACCAGTTTATTTTTCTCTGGTCATAATTTAGCTGACTTGGCAATAGTAACAAACAATTGGTTGCACCAGCTGCTGATTTGGTTGTCCCTCAACCAGCTCCAGTTAAATGTTACTAAAACGAAATTCATTGTTTTTAAACCTAAGAATAAACCCGATGTCACTGACATTTCTCTTCGTTTTGATGCTTCCGCTATTGAACGGGTATCTGTATTTAAGTTTCTGGGAGTATTGTTCGAAGAACATTTGAGCTGGACTCATCACGTAAACAAATTACATACTAGCATTTCCAGGTCCAATCGAGTGTTTTACAATATCCGGCATCTGGTTCCGACTTGGCTAAAACGTCAGCTGTACTATACACTCATACATTCTCAACTATACTACTGCCTCTTAGTCTGGGGTACTACAAGCAAAACAAACTTAATCAGGCTGACACTCCTCCAAAAACAAGCTGTTCGACACATAGAAAACCTTGCTTATCTTGACCATACAGCACCGTTTTTTTTAAAAAATGAGATATTAAAAGTGGATCAGCTATACTCCCTCAAACTTGCTACATACATACACAGAAAAATGCGTCAAAATGAATCTATGTTTACACACATGTACTTGACTAACCGCAATCCATATATTTTGCGACACAGCCACCTCGAAGTTCCGTTTTGCAGAACAAAATACGGTACTAAACAGCTAAAATACATGATCCCTAGTTTCCTAAACCAGCATCCACAATTACTTAGCAATGTGTATGAAGTTTCATCAAAATCCCTGTTTAAGCGTGTTGTTAAATTATATTTGCTGTCTTGCGTGCCCTTCATAGTATGAGTAGACCTCTAACAACATGTGGCTTAAGACCTGTTACATTAAAGAACTCAATTCTACTATTCCTATATGTATGTCGTCGTCCCTTGCAAGTAGCGCTATGTCATGTTTCTTTTTTTCCGTGCTGAGCTTCCGCTTTCTAATGTATAATTTCTTACTGATAGCCACAACCCTGTTGGACAGTGCTTGGGTGGTAGGGCCATTGTCAGGCAGTTAATTCTGCCTTTAGCCATACCATCCCTCGACATGTATTATGTTGAAAAAATAAACAATTCAATTCAATTCAATTCAATTCCAGCATGCCCGGGGACACAAATATACCGAACTTCTGATAGGCTATGCGGTACGAGAGACCAAAATATCCTGAGAAGAGGAGACTTCTTTGCGGACGTTAGATGTGTACATACAGACAAAGCATCCGAAATAATAATATCTTTTGATTGCTGATAATTTAGTTTTCAAAGAGCCAATGTAATAGCCAGGAATTCTGCGAGATAAATTGGTGTGAAGTCCGGCAATCGGAGCGCAAAAGACCAACTAGGCTGATGAGAAAAAATACCTACTCCAGCCTTCTGAAGATTTTGCGTTGCGTCCGTCGAAATTACTACGTATTTAGGAAAATGACTTAGATGGTCTTGAAGGAGGCCCTCCAGAACATGCTTTCGAAGTAACTTGGCATTTTTTGGAAAAAAATCATCGAAAATTAAGTCAACTGGCACCGAGCATTGGGTTTGGGGAGTTAAATGCCGGAGGGAAACGTGAAGATTTGATAACAGAGACTCGACGAAAATGACTTGGGGTCTTTGATAACGAGACCACGGGCGCTGAAAGAAAGAAACTGGATGTTTGATGAAAACTGTCTGAGAACAGAAGAGGGGTGCATCGTAAAGTTTTAAAATGTTTGCACAGTAAGCTGTCGAAATCTAGCATCAAGTGGAATGATTCTAGCTTCCAAATAAAGCACGCTATTCGATACACACCTAGGTAGCCCGAGACACAGCCGCAGAGCTTGCCGTTCTAGCAATATAAGTGGTCTTAATTTGTACTCAGCACTTCCAGAAAACAGAACGCAGCCAAACTCCAGAATTGGGCGTACGTAAAGTTTGTATATCATAAGTAACGTATCCCTGCGCATCCCTGAATCACCATTGCTCGAGAGCGTCTGATCTCTTCTTCTTCCTCGCTCTTTCAGTCCGCGTTACAATATTTTATTAACCAGCAAAACATTTCCGGGTGCATTTCTGTCGTCGCCTCGATAACGAGTTCTTGTAGCTCATCTTTCTTTAAAGAAAATTAGACAAGTACACTTCTTCTTATATTCTGCAATTCCTGACAGTCAACCATTGCTCTTTCCGCTGCGTCAAAAACACGGCTACAAGTGATTCGTCGTTGTTTTCGCTATTTTTTCGTCCTTTTTTCGGATGTGTTCCGGGTAGTTAGGGAAGGCAGTGGAAAGAGCTGTTGGATGCAATATCTTCAGCTTCATTTACTTCCAATTGTCGTTATCGGTAAACTTCAGTGACTACACCAAAACCTGTCATTTGGCCCCGAAGGGCTTCATTTATCTTTCTTCTCTGTCGAGCAAAGTATTTCCGCGATGTTTTCTACGGCGCTCTTTGTTGCACGAGAACTCTTGATATTGAATTGATAGGTTCTTTCTTTGATTCGTACTGCACAGCGGCACCCAGAATGACAACAATCTTGATGCATTTGCACTAGCGCGTGTGCACATAAAGCTTGCACGTGAAAGCGAGACCTTTCCAAATTACACAGAGATGCCATCCGCATATGATTCGTGCCGGATTTCACGGCAGGGGCTGTCCCGTACTATTAGCGCCCAACCTTCAAATAGTGGCACCAACTGTCAATTTTCTTTCCACAGCAGTGCCCGTGCAATTCTGCGCAAGTTGGCAGGCCGCACCCCGCGTGTGCGTTCAATGAAGCGACCGTCGCCCAAGTTTGCACAACCTGCACAAAAAATACTCGTTACGGGCATCATATCCAGGCAACAGTGCTTGTCGTAGCAGTTTTCACTGTCAGTTTTCACAGACATGAAACTATACATTACTAAATATCTTCTATGATTCCACAACCTATGCCACATCATCGCTCAACGCGACAGAATGAGGAGACAAGCAGTGCTGGAGATATGCATGCCATCATAGCACATTACTGGAATCTGTGCCCCACTGGCGGTGTCGACTGTACGTCAGACCACAGGATAACGTTAGGGCATCAAGGTAGTCGACGTGCCTGGTGAGCCAACGACGAATTCCGTTGCCAGGTGGTGGTCGGGGGAGACGTTTATGTAAGCGTTTTTCTCTGACAGTGGCATATTCCAGCCTCTTCATTAGCACTAATTACTCCGAAGTTTCAGTGCTTTGTTCGGAATGTCAAAATTGCAAAAATTTTAGCCACTAATTCTTGAGGTACTCCTCCCTATAGGCTAAGCATAAAGAGTTCTTGGAAAATGACCCCCATTTCATGATGAAAACTTTGAAAGGTCTAACGCTCGGGCAAGCTGGTGGGGGCTCATTTCAAAATGTTAACAGCTCATAGAACGAGTATAAAACAATTAGGAAAGAGAGAGACATCAGATGCAAAACAGCGCCGCTTTTCACGCTCCCCCTTGTCTTGTATACATGCCTTCTAGACATAGAGCTATTTGGGAGTCAGCGCTCTTTGCCTATATTTTCCTATATTGTCCCGTCATTTTCTAACCAATCTATGCGCTTTCAACATTTTGACATGATCAAGAGCCCGGCGCTTCTAGAACAAGTCAAGCCTGTCCAGAAAGCCCACAACCGGGCGGTGAGACTAATTGTCCCCAGCCTTACTTAGGAGCAGCCACAATCCTCGACCTATGAAACAGGGTGGATTCCATCGGAACCTCAATAAACTTTGTTTATCTTTATATCTAGTCAAGGCCTTCTTCACACACCTGCTGCTCCCTGCACTCTGAAAAATGTATTGGTATGGGCCCAGCAACGATGTACCAATAAATGCAAAAAAAAGATAGGCGGAGGAGGGAGTGCATTATGCCATTATTGGCCTACTGATTCTCCACCAACTCCAAGAACGTGTGGTATTTGCCGGATTTTTCACATTGAATTTCGGTATTGTACTTAGCGCTATTGCTATCTTTTTATGTTAAACGACTTCTTTTCTGCAGGCTTCCCACGGAACGTGTCGCTGCCCCTGATTCGGGAGCTCTATGGTAAGCCAAAGGCTCGCATGCGCAAGGGGGCGCTTCACTGAGTGATGTCTCTTACTCTTCTTCTAGGGGACAACTACAAGATCACAAGACTAGGCATCACCTTTGTTGAGCGCTCTTACGTGAGAACAAAAGTGGTCAAGGAAACGCTATGGCACCTAAAGAAACAGAGTTCTCAAGGCTCAAGCTGAATATTTTCCGTCCTTTAGTTCAATCTTTAGCTATCGCTTCCTACATATGTGACATCGATGATAAATCTGTCCCTGCATAACTGCGTAACTAGTTAGTTTTCTTAAAACGTCTGCACACCCATTAGTTAGAGCACGCCAGCCAGCTTAACACTAATTTGGGAAACACAAAATGGCGTATGTTGTCATAAAATAAATCAAAATCTTTTTTAGAAAGCGTTTGGGGGAAGCCGAATCGTACATTGGCACTCTTGCACCTGATGATTCACTGTGCTGCTATTTGGTGATCACGTGCAACCATTGTGCCTTGAGCAAACTGGAGGTACTCACTTTGATGCCGTTATGTGAGCACCACCAACCGCGGTCGTCAATTTCAATCGGCCCTATTCAACGCAATTGTCAATATTCTGAGCATTCAAGACATACACGTTACTGCCTACCATCTTTTCGCCAACTACATGGTCAAAATTACTATGAAATTGCTATGAAAATTTGATAATACTAGCTGGTAAGAATACGGGAAAGCAGTGGCGTATAGTTGACTCATTTTTAAATAAAAATAAAGTTTCAGCTTGTATCACTGAAATATGTCATGTCGGAAACTTGCGATGCCATTGATAATGCTTTCAGCCAGTACTTTTCTAGTATCAGCGCGAAATCCGGCCAATCATGTCTGAACGACTAACGGCGTCCATTGCAATCTTTTTATCTTTTTTCAACCCGCCCAGCTGAAGTTCGGAACACTATTCTAAGTCTGAAAAGAACTAGCGCTAGACTTGACAACTTATCTGCCAGATACCTGAAGGACATTGTTGATGTCATCGCCCCTATTTTCGCCCATATCGTTAACTTAAACTTTAAGACTCTATTTTTAATTCCGAACTAAAAAAAGCAAAATAGTGCCTGCTCATAACAAAGTTAATAAGACAGTCCTAAACAATTATAGGCCCATCAGTATAATTTCTTTTTTCAGTGAGTTTGTTGAAAAATTATACTCCGTCCTTCTTATAAAATACCTCAAAAAATTTCAGCTCTTGTCGCCCCATCAATTTGTGTTTCGTCAAGGGCTTTTCACAAATCTAGTGTCACGCAGTTTATTGAAGTACAGACCTACTGGAAGGCCGAGGGACGCCAGAAGAGCGAGGAACGCCGACAGGCCGAAAATACAAAACAAACGCAAGCTCGGGTCGCGCGCGTGCACCAACGCTGTGGCTTGCCGTTTCATGCTGCTTCGTCGTCGTTCGCATAGTTCCCTACATTGGCCCCCGGTGAATAGCGTAGCCAACCTGGCGACTTAAGGTAGTAGTCACTATAGCGGGGTCGTAATACGGCTTCAGGCGACTCACATGCACAATTTCTCGGCCACGACGGCCGTAAGTCATGAGACTGTGTCAAAGGCTCAATCTCATAATTGACTGGTGACGTACGGGCGAGAATAGCGGTAGGGCCCGTGGTATCCTGCCAGTAATTCCGACGAAAGGCCAGGAGTGCTCGGTGGAATCCAGAGCCAAACGAGAGCACCAGTCGCGAAAGTAGAGAGATGTCGGTCGGTGTCATGCCGTAGCTTCTGGTGGCCTTGGTCCTCGGTTGTCAGTGAACGGGCCAATCGTCTGCAATCTTCTGCGTACCTGGCAACATCAGAAATTGCAGTGTACTCAGAGGAGTCGGGCGTGTATGGCAGGATAGTGTCCAGCGTGCACGATCGTTCGCGTCCGTACAACAGAAAGAAAAGGGAGAACCCTGTTGTCGCGTGCGTAGCGGTGTTATACGCATACGTGACGAATGGAAGGACAGTGTCCCAATTGGTCTGGTCTGAAGCTGTGTACATCGTCAACATATCACCGAGAGTGCGATTAAATCGTTCTGTGAGGCCATTCGTCTGCGGGTGATATGCTGTCGTCATGCGATGAACCATAATGCACTGAGCGAGCAACGCTTGAATGGCGTCAGACAAGAAAACACGCCCCCGGTCGCTCAGAAGTTCGCGGGGAGCACCATGGGGAAGAACAAAGTTGCGCAGAATGAAAAACGCAACTTCCCTCGCGGTTGCTGCGGGTAGTGCTGCCGTCTCCGCGTAACGCGTGAGGTGGTCCACGCCGACAATTATCCACCCATTTCCAGAAGACGACGTGGGAAGTGGTCCGTATAAGTCGATACCGACGCGGTCAAACGGACGCGCTGGACAAGGCAGAGGCTGAAGTGTACCGGCAGGGCGTTGAGGTGGGACTTTACGTCGCTGGCATGCAGTACAAGCACGTACGTACTTGCGGACAAATGTGTACATGCCGCGCCAGTAGTACCGCTGACGTAAACGGTTGTACGTTTTGAGAGCGCCAGCGTGAGCGCTTTGCGGGTCGTTGTGGAAAGCAGTACAGATTTCCGAGCGCATGTGGTTGGGTATCACTAACAGCCACTTACGACCTTCAGACGTGTAATTCCGCCGATAGAGTAGGTCGTCTCGAATAGCGAAATGTGTGGCTTGACGGCGGATAGTTCTTGAGACCAAATTAGCTAACGGATCAGTCAGAAAGGCGAGGAGTTCGGAGATCCACACATCTTTGCGTTGTTCCGATGCCATGTCTGTGAAGTCGATTGGTGTTATGACACCTGAAGAAGGTGACGAGGGGGTTGGGTCAGCTGGTAGCGGCGAGCGGGATAGTGCATCAGCGTCGGAGTGCTTGCGGCCGGATCGGTATACAACACAAATGTCGTATTCCTGTAGGCGAAGCGCCCAACGACCAAGGCGCCCCGACGGGTCTTTGAGCGATGATAGCCAGCATAGAGCGTGGTGGTCCGTGACGACTTCGAAAGGGCGGCCATAAAAGTATGGGCGGAACTTCGTCAAAGCCCAGACAATTGCGAGGCACTTTTTCCGTGACGGAATAATTACACTCGGCTTTCTTGAGGGTTCGACTCGCGTAAGCGACAACGTATTCTTGGTACCCTGGTTTTCGTTGAGCCAATACAGCACCAAGACCGACACCACTGGCGTCGGTGTGCATCTCCGTGGGCGCATCAGGGTCAAAATGACGTAGTATTGGAGGTGATAGTAATAACCGCCGAAGCGCGGTGAAGGATTCGTCGCACTCTTTTGACCAAGCAGAAGTGCCTTTGGAAGTTGTCAACAGGTTGGTAAGAGGCGCGATGATGGAAGAGAAGTTGCGCACAAATCGATGAAAGTATGAGCACAGGCCGATAAAACTTCGAAGCGTCTTGATGGAATTGGGCTTCGGATAGTCGGCCACGGCGCGGAGTTTCGCCGGATCCGGGAGAACACCCTCTTTGCAGACGATGTGACCCAGTATAGTGAGCTGACGTGCGGCAAAATGGCACTTCTTGATGTTAAGTTGAAGGCCAGCAGAGGTGAGACACGTGAGAATAGCACGAAGACGAACAAGGTGAGTTGAAAAGTCGCGAGAAAAAACGACGATGTCGTCTAGGTAGCAAAGGCACGTGTTCCACTTGTAGCCGCGAAGGATGGTGTCCATCATCCGTTCGAAGGTAGCTGGGGCGTTGCAGAGTCCAAACGGCATGACGTTAAACTCATACAGCCCATCAGGTGTTACAAATGCAGTCTTCGATCGGTCAGGATCAGCCATCGGAACTTGCCAATATCCTGAGCGTAAATCTAAAGAGGAGAAATATTCTGCCCCTTGCAAGCAATCGAGAGCGTCGTCGATGCGTGGCAACGGGTACACATCCTTCCGAGTTATCTTATTGAGCCGGCGGTAGTCGACACAGAATCGGACAGACCCATTCTTTTTGCGCACAAGTACAACAGGCGACGACCAAGGGCTCTGCGATGGCTGGATGACACCACGCTTGAGCATAACGTCGACTTGTTCGTTGATAATACGGCGCTCTTCCGCTGAAACTCGATATGGTCGTTGGCGTAAGGGAGCATGAGTACCGGTGTCAATGTGGTGCGTGATGTTCGCTGTGCGACCCAAAGATGGTTGAGCGCAATCGAAGGCAGAACGGAACTCTCGAAGAAGGGACAAGAGTTCCCTTCTTTGTGTCGGTGATAGCTCAGCAGCAACAGAGGGCTGGAATGAGTCTGGCGTGGGCAGTGTGGCCACAGGTGGCGTCATAGCATTGAGCTCGAGGTGAGGTGCGTGTTCGGCGAACTCTAAAGGGTGCAAGAGGTCAACGTCTTGTATGTTACCCAAACATTCTCCGCGAAGTAAGGTAACTGGCGACGATAGCGAGTTCGCGACGAGCATGGCGGTAGCACCGGATTCCATGGTGAGTACGGCAAAGGGCAGGTGTAGGCTACGGTGGCGGGTAAATACGTCAGACGGGGTGAACAAAACAGTTCCGGCAGGAGCGGCCGTACAGGTCAGGGCTACAAGGGTGGATGTTCTCGGTGCTATTTCCGTGTCTGCAACAACGACAAGTTTGTAAGGTTCAGGAAGACAATCCACCAAACAAGAGGTTGGCAGTGGTGTAAGGGCAACTTCTGCACGTGAGCAATCTATGATGGCCCGATGACGCGAAAGAAAGTCCCATCCAAGAACGACTTCGTGGGAGCATGATGCCAGCACTAAAAATTCAATGGCATAAAGTTCACCTTGGATAACGACACGTGCAGTGCACACAGCTGTAAGTTCTATACACTGCGAGTTGGCCGTGTGGAGCATCAGGCCCGAAAGAGGCGTCGTCACCTTTTTCAACTTGCGGCATAAGGTCTAACAGATTATGGAAACGGCGGCCCCTGTGTCGATTAGCGCTTGTGCGGTGGTCCCCTCAACAATGACGTCAATAACGTTTTGCGGCGAGAAAGATGGAGGCCTTAAGCAGTTCGAATTGTATGCAGCTGTTGCCTTCGGAGCTGCAGCGATCAGTTTCCCTCTTCCGTAACAGGTCGGCGACGCATAGGTGACAGGGAGCGTCGTCGGGGCGATGGTGAGCGATGGTTTGCGTAGGGTCGAGGACCGTCAGTGGTGTACCTTGATGGCGTCCTAGACGACGACGCCATTGGCCTGCCCACGATGTCGACTGGAGGGGGATCTCGGCGACAGTGGCGGGCGACGTGTCCAGCGATACCACAGGCGAAACAGATGGGCCTATTATCCGGCGT